GTTTATAAGAATTTTTAAATAATTATTTATTTTGGTCTTCCATGACCCTTTTCTAGATTTTTCCTTTAGTGGAGAAATTATAATGTGTATAGAGTAAAATTGTTCAAATTTAGTTAAAATGTAAAAATATAAATTAAAAGCTTTTATAACTATATTGAAAAACTATAAACTTCATACTTTTATAAATAAATAAATAAAATAACAAATGAGACATTAAATAATTCTTAAAAAATATATAACAAATTACTACAAGAAACTGAATAATAATTATATATGCTTAATATTTACACTTTTTTTTATCTACGCTTAAGTTCAGTCCAAGTTATATAAAATAAAAATATTCATTTAGTTTTAAAAAATTAGTATATTTAATTAATTTGTAATTTTATAAATCCATTTAATTAAATTCAGATCAATTAATATATAAATTTTATTGCTAAATTTGTACTTTTATTCTAAATTACTGTCTCGTGTGTGTACGGAATAAATTATATGTATATTATTATTTTTTTATAAGATAAAAAATAAACTTTAATTTTGAAAAGAATAATATGTAAGAAATTAAAAAATATATAAAAACATTAATATAATATAACTTTAATTTTTGTTTTATTATTATCAAACAAACTATGATATGATTAAAATAAGAGTTCATATGGCTCATTAATTTAGTTTAAAATTAAAATAATAGGAAGGTAAAATGCAATATAACTCTTTTCAATTTCATTTCTTCGTGTGTTTTTTTTTCTTGTTTATTATCTTTCTTTTGTTTAAACATTTTTTTTTATTCAAATGTGATAAGATGATTTTTTTCCAATTTGATTTTTATCTTCTTTCAAATGCATTTATCTTTTTTCACACACTCCATTGTTTATTTTCAAATACGGAAAAAAGATAACAGCATTATATACTCTTTCACAAATTACATGTAAGTTTTTTTTCCCCTCTCTTTCTCTTTCATTCTTGTATATATGTGTTATGTGAATAATTGTTCCGTAAACCTAATTATAAAAATTAAATAATTATATAATTTTCACAACATATAGTGTTTTTATAATTATTTAAAACTTACAAATTATTAAGTTGTGTTGCTAAGTTCTTATTATTATGATATTTACCTTTTAAATTTAACAAATTATTTAAGAAAAATATCTTTATTATTTTTTAATTTATTTATATTTTAATTTTAATAGTTATTTTGATTGTTAATTTAACTTTTTTTTTTCTTATTATGACAAATCATTAAAATTATATTTTACATTTTGATTTATTATATATTTTGCATATAGTTTAATCATATAAAATTATATATATATATATATATATATATATATATATTATGTTAGGCTATAACATAATTATATCTTATAAAGAAGAAGAAATTCTATTTTTGTAAAAAAATAAAATATTTGTACATCCAAAAAATTTACATTGTAAATGAATATAAAAATTTTCATTTTCTATATAAATATTTTAAAAAAATCTTTATGAACAGTCAAACGGATTTTAGTTATTTCTATGAATCATTATTCTTAAAATTTGTAATTTTCAAAAATTATGATTTCTTGATATAAAAAAATTCTTCTATCAAACGCTTTCTTAAAATTTGATTTTTTTTTTATTATAAAGAAGGCTTTCTATCGTGAATTTAAATATTTAATATTACTTATATGAGTAACAACAATCTTATATATATATATATCATTTATGAAATTTTTCTTTTCTAATTTGCCAATGAAAATTGAATTTTGGTTCTCCATCTTGAAACAATAATTTATCTTAAAATTGTGCTACCAAATATTAAAAAGAAGATAGAAAAAAAGTTTTTAAAATCAGCTCATTGAAAATAAAAGAGATTCACAATACATAAGAGATTAACCGCAAGAGCTAAGAATCTAAAAAGGTGACAATATGATATCGAAAGAGTTTGTTTATAATATAAAATGTGCATGACCATGAAGATGGAAATTGTATAGTCATGTATTTTGGTATGTTTCAAACGATAATTAAATGTCAGTGAATGAGGGTATTTAGTAGAGAATGGGTAAATGAAAAGGTGCATAATAAACGATATCTGCATTATTCAAATATGTTATTAAAAAAATTATATATATATATATATATAACATATAATTACACATAATTTTAATATTTATTTTAAATAAAATTTTACAACATATTTTATATTATTATAATATATACTTATACTTTTAAATAATATATCAACATATATTATATTTATTATATGGATAAAATAATTTTGTGATAAGTATTGTGTTATTATAAAATATGTGCTATTATATAACAATTTTTTGTAATAAAAATTGAAGTAGAGAATATGTGATATTATTTAATACATGGTTAAAAATTTTACATGATATAAATATATATAGAGAGATAGATAAATATAATTTTTATTTCTCCCTCGCATATTCTTTTAAACCGATGCGCCAACTCTTTCCGATCAGAGTTAATAGGTTACTTTCATATTGTAATTTCCTTTTCACATGTACTTTTTCATCAAGTGGGCCGAGTTACTTTTGGCCCATAAAGTTATTTATTTGAAAAAAATCAAACATTGCACCCAAGATTGATATAAAACGAATCTATTAATATATTTAATGCAATTTACTAGAAAACATTTTGTTTCATTGTAATATTCTTGCGAGTGATCCAGGTTGGAGTTTGTAAAAGTTATAAACTTTAGAGTTATTGGCTTTTGTTTAATTAGGAGAAAAATATAAAATTAAATGTTTTCTTAAACACAAAATATCGACATAGTAACTCAGTCGCTATTTGCGAGTGAATTATGGACGTGATTTTAATGACAATTTAAGGTAAAATTTATGGTGACTGAAGTTGCCACTAATATGGAAATGATGATATTTGATAGAAACCCCATTAATATGCTTGCCCACGACCATAGATAGAGATAAAGAATAATAAGAATGTTTTTGGTGCATATATGCATCTTTTCATGCATGATGGATAACGATATTTTGAATTTTACAATACAAAAATAAAATTGATGACATAAGGAAGTGGTCGGCAAGTGGGTCCAAGAATCTTTAGTCAGAAAAAATAATTGAAGGTGTGATGCAATAATCAACTTTTAAAAAAATGTGATGCGACACAAAATTAATTAATTATTTTTGTTTTCTCTCATACTATCAATTGTTCAAGGGGTGTGACTCGTCTAGCTTTTAACACCATCTTTGTAAATTTGAGATTCTTACTCGCATGGCGATCGCAAAGAGTTAAATTTTTCTTTTTTAATCTTTGTAGGACATTTACGTTTAAGGATGTGTTTTTATAAAGTTGTAAAAATTAAATTCTTTTAATAATTGATTATATAAATAATCAATTTTTGATATAATTAATTATAATCAGAATTAAATTTTATTTGAATGTTTTTTTTTATATAAAAAGATGTTAAGATATTTAATTTTGTTTAGATTTATAAATAAATAAAAATTATACTATAAATCAACTTAAAAAATGTTAAAAATTAATCATAAACTTCAAATTTCAACTGCTTAAAAACTATTTATTTATATAACAAGAAAATTAATTTTTATAAATTTAAGTTGTTATTTCAAACATCCGGTAAATCACATAAATTATTATAAATCAGATTATTTACATGGCAGTTGTGTATACAAAGTTTGAATTCGATTAATTAATCACGCGCTCAATGGTAAAATAATTATTTCCTCTGAAAGTACCATAAATGGTATTAGGAAAAAGTATGTCTTAACGGTGTTTTTAATTTGGAAAACAATCAAAATATGGTTTTGTTTTCTAATTTTAAAAATCAATAGTTTCGTTTCTATACAAGTTGCCCTCAATTCATTCATCTGCATGAAAAATGGTTGCAGAAGCAATATTTACATCAAATATGCAACACGAGGGTTCTGAAGTTACTAGTGCAATAAATATATCTTTCCCTCTCACTTATTATTATTTTTCTTTAAAGACAATATTATGTATGAAATGTTTACATGTATAGAATTTTATTTGAGATACGGTTATATTTATATACCAAATAATAAATATATATGCACCTCCCTTAACAAAAATATGAACCTTAAATGTATCCCTTTTTGATACTTGTGCAGTAATATTTTTGATGAATCATAATGGAGAAGAGGACGTCTAATCCAGTAATTAACCTTTCCGTTTTTGCTTGTAACGAAAGGGACCCCTTTTCTACACAATACAACTCCATGTGCAACCATCAATATCGTACGATTTGTTCAACAATTAAATTACTCACTTCTTCAGCATAAGGCGGTTTTCCTGTTATAGAAAAAAGTATTCATACATTTAACAAAAATATTTTGGTGATTTTTTTTGCTGAACAAAATATTGTGGTAATTGGTAAGTACACGATTTTCATAATGACCATTAAAGTGTGACAAACGATAAATCAATTCAACGCAAAAATGTTATATAGTTGTTCTACAGTACGAGGGATTTGGCTGACATGCGCGTTATGACCATTCAATTCGCTATTTGTTGAAAATGTATCTTAGGTTGGACAATTGAATTAAGTAAACTTTTTTAATGGTCGAAAAATAGCAAACTTGGTGAAAATAATTAGTCACACAATACACACGTTTTGTATAGAACAACGGACAACCACACTTGTAAGTTGTAACCTTCACGTAATCACGTTTGTGTTTCCGCGTGAATCTTGTATATGATACCTATGATTTCAGACACCCATGCCAGCTATTCTCTTTTTTCCTGGTAAAGCTTTCTACTTGATTTTTTGTCTGCCCACTTTTTCTTTTAATAACAAGAGATATACACAAAATGATGTTCTACACATTATTGTATAGATTGTTAAATGTATATCATTACTTATACTTAAAGTGCAATTCTATAGAGTGGTAATGAATGTACCATATCTTACCTTCATGTACTGGTCATTAAAAAAATGTTTTTTTTTCTTTTCTCACAAAAGCAAACCAGAAATAAGAAGTACTAAAGAAATATAAATATCTAAACTGGGCTTTTACTCCACAAATGTAAACAAATCATGAGTTATATTGAGGTCCAATGCTACAGTGTAGGAAGCTAAAATTCAACCAACCTTTCAAATAACAAGGTAATTATGGTAATGACCTATCTATAATCTGCCGAACATAGTCTGTTACTTGAGAATGTCAGCTCAAGTTGTGATCAACGAAATAAAAGCATCAGCTTACAACATTTTTAGGTTACATCAATATTTTTCTCTAAAGGTACGGGCTACTATCCTTGCTTGGCTGAGACAGTACCTGCAGAAAAGTTGGCACCAGCATATTCTGCAGTGGCACACTCTTCAGACTTGTTGTTGAGGTTATATGGTGCTGCATTCATCACCCTGTAAGCACACAGAATACCTCATAAATAATTTCATCCAATCTTGGTTATACTAATAACTGCCAGATTACCTAACTAATACTTCAAGTTTGTGGACCCTAAATCGGTTAGGACCACATTATATAGACAGATAGATAAATAACCGTCAGATTATCTAAATCAGTTAGGTCACTGCCCAATTATACGAGTCTCTGTGTGTGTGTATATATATATATATATATATATATATATATATATAATAGGAAGGTGAAGATATACACGACTAAATATCTTCTATTATCATACCTGAGTCCTTCCCACCAACATCTTAAATTATACTAGTCTATAAACACAAAGAAAGTTTCAGCTAGTAAGGGATGGAATGGAAAGGGATGAATTGAGATGAGATGAATTGAATTGATTAAAAGGGGGAAATAAATGTTACGGTCAAAGGTTGCAAGTGTAAAATTTCTATACAAGCCATAATCTTATTAAAGGGATGAATTGAGATGAGATGAATTGGATAAATGAATTTTAGGAAATAACTCCTATCTACTTCTTAAATAATTGCTTCTTTCGAAAGTACTTGTTTAAAAACATTTATTTTTAAGTTTAAACAAATAGATCCATAATCTTTTTCTAAGAAACAAAATTAATAATGTAAAATAGAGGCTTTAAATAAAAGCAAAGTTATTACACTCATTACCCCTCGATTAGTTTTACTTTCCAATCCAATTTATAAATTTTTATGTAGCATACTTTGGTAAATTATTTGACTCCCATTTCCCACTTCCAGCCCCTCTTTACCACTCACCCGTACAAATTCTGAGGGGAGAGTGCCACCACACATCAGTGTAGTCATTGAACCAATTTTAACAGTTCAAGGATGATAAATATGCTTTCGTTCTTTTGTGGAGAAATATAAATTGTGTATCAGATTGCACATACCCAACAAAATAATGTATCCAAACTAACCTTTCCTTGCGTTTTTCTAAAAATCGAGCCAAGGATGCTTTCCGAGCCTGAGGTACAGCTGCATGACACATGGATTGTTAAAATCATTAAACTGAAACATTTGTAATGATCAAACACAAATAAACATTTGTAATGCAGATGTATTCGTCATTAGTTAAGTGAGATATCAATATAAAAAAAGGGTGTAGAACTAAAGAGCCAGCAAACATACCTGATGTCAACATAGTGGTTGCACTGACAACCTTTGGAGGCTCCACATTGCTAACAGGAGTGGTAGGAACTCCAGTTGTTTTTGCAGCCAGAAATTCATCAGTGCTAGTTGAGCCACTCCCTGACGGTGCACCAGTATGTGAAGAAACAGATAAAGGACTTGAAAGACGAGAGCCAGGTGGTGTATTTGCAGGTTGACTCACAGGCACACCATCACCAGCAGCCAACTTCGAGATAGGCACATGAACTTTTGGTTTTGCCATGTTAGAAGCTGTAGATATGCTAGTGCCAGCCAACAACATGATAGCTTGTGCCTGTAAAAAGATGACCACATTTAAAAGCTTAACCATGATCAAGGCACAATCATCAGGGAGTACAAAATTATGCTCCCCTTTTTACTCTCTAGTCTCTATTAATTGAATTTATTATGGAATGGAGGGTGGAAAGAATGTGATTGACAAAGAATGATACCTTCTCGGCAGAGATATCTTCAAAGACATTGACAGTACCCCCATAGAAGATGGTAAGTTGGGCAGAAGGCACAGATGGTTTCACACTGTTACTTAAAAATAACAAATTAAAAACACAAACAAGTTTGTACACTGCACTCAATCCAGTTAAAGCATAAAATTAAAATTACCACAATTCAGTCATTCCAGTAACAGCACCAACAGACGGAAGAACTGAATGAGGTGCTGTAGGTATTCTCCTGAGTAATGGCTGCTTCACATTAGTGCCATTCATATTCTGACCAGCAGTTGCAAAATGATTCTTCAGGAATGGATTCCCAGAGGAAACTGAAATATCTTGATTGAAAACTGAAAACATCTTCACATCATGAGGATGATTCACAGAATTGACATCATGTTGTACAGGATATGGAGTCAGCGAAAAATGAAGGCCACCTTGCCTATCGTGATGTTTCTAAATAGTAGTAATAACAAACAGTCAATGAAAGGAAGGGCAAAAAAGACATCAGCTGATGGTTATTGAAGATAAGATCTTGTGAATTAAGTCAATTTATCAAACGGATGCTGGAGTTTAGAACTTGAAACTTGAAACAACAAGCATGACATGTTGCACAACAGCCACATGTTCGGTTCTGATCCAAAAGGGAAGTTCATACACCAAAACGACTTAGGACAACCATAAGCAGATTTTTAGTTTTTTATAGGAAAGGGGAATTAAAAAAAATCCTCTTAATTTTCAGAGTAGACTTAATTAAAGTAACAATTAGAATGCCCAAAAACAAATTATACTCTTTTTACTTTAATTTAGGGCATAAACGACACTGCATGCTGACCTAACTTGACAATTTAAAAAAATATATAGAGGAACTGAGAGAAAGGTAGTAAAACTAACCTTGGGTTCACCAGAAGAGAATGCATCTTGACTCAAGATAGGCATAAACCCAGCAGAAGTTAAGGGATCAGACACTATTTTCTTAGCCTTATCATCTTGAGAAACCTTGAAAGGCATCAAATAAGGAAGGGCAGAGACTTTGTTCGAGAAAGGCCATTGTTCAGTCGAACCCTTTGTGAAACCTACACATTCCAACAAAATTACCATCAACATAAGCTACCAAGACTTCATAACCGAGTTAATTGCCTTCTAGACCTTAAAGGGGATAAAAGAGATATTAAAAAAAGTTCCACTATTAGAATCTAATAACCTATGTGAAAACCTATCTACGTGTCTGTGTTTAGAAGCACACCGAACCCAAATCAACAAAACTGGTAAGAACAGACAAAGATTTCTTTCCCCAAATTGAGAATTTCTTTAAATATCTAAAAGAGTCACTCACAGCTCAATTATTCCCACTAGGAAAATCTAACGCATGAATCCCTAATAATCAGGTGGTAAAAAATTTACACAAAAGCAAAGTTGTAGTACTGTGCCACCCATAGTTAAAAGAAAGTGCAAAGAAAAACAAAAACTACGTTAAAAAAACAAACCACGTTAACCAAGCAAATCTAAGAACATGTTAAAATTTAATTCAGCATAACTCAACCCACATGCAATCTAAAGAGGCATAACATAAGTGAACCCATAAATTAAAAAAAAAAAAAAAAAAAAAAAAAAAAAAAGGAAAAAAAAAAAGAACCCCAAAAAAAAAAAAAAAAAAAAAGGAAAAAAAAAAAGAACCCCAAAAAAAAAAAAAAAAAAAAAGGAAAAAAAAAAAGAACCCCAAAAAAAAAAAAAAAAAAAAAGGAAAAAAAAAAAGAACCCCAAAAAAAAAAAAAAAAAAAAAGGAAAAAAAAAAAGAACCCCAAAAAAAAAAAAAAAAAAAAAGGAAAAAAAAAAAGAACCCCAAAAAAAAAAAAAAAAAAAAAGGAAAAAAAAAAAGAACCCCAAAAAAAAAAAAAAAAAAAAAAAAAAAAAAAGGAATGAAAGAAACCCAGACGAAATTAATTCACAAGGAGTAAAATTTTGCAAGAGAGCATTCAAATATGGAAAGAGGAAAATTGGAACATGCCAGAGTCTTTGAAGGCATAATCGTTAATCTCCTCCTTGACCACAGCCAGTGGTTCTTTTGAGTTGAGTCCCATGAAATCTCTCTCCATCATCTCAGAGACACAAATTCAATGAAAATTTCTTTTTCTGGAGAGACTAAAGTGAAGAAGCAAGAATCCCTTGTTCCTTACTCACGACAACAATAAGAATAAGCAGAGAAACAGAAAAACAAAGGAGGCAAAGGAAAAGGTTCCAACTGCATCAGAAAAAGGCGAGTCCAATGGGGTCGTGTTTCACACAAGTTTCGTGAGATCTTGGCCGTTAAACCTTGTTTTATAAGAAAAGAAAAGTTGAGTAATCGAAGGTGTTTGGTTCACCGGTAAACCGGTGGCATCACGGGATGGTCCGGTAAAGGAGCACGTGCGTGATCCTTTGATTGATTCACAAGAACCTACGAGCCAATGTCGGTGACAATGCCCTTTTGTACTGACACCTGGTGAAATAGCGCACGTGTGTACGACACGCGACCACTTCAGAGAGAGAGAGAGAGTAAAGTATGCCACATTTGGATGGATTGCTTCTTGCGATTTACTCAAATGTTTAATTTTAGTTTCAAGTTACAGAGACAATCATATAAATTTGGTAGCTAAGGAAAAACGATGTGAAGCTCATTTTAGTAATATCCAAATTTACAACATCAAGTGTAATGCTGTTACATGACATCAAATCCACAACCTAATTAATGTTATCAAAGTCAACATTTTGGGGGGAGTGAAGCTCATTTACTCAATGTCATATATTGTTATTTGTTACTGTTAATCAATGTTTAATTTAATGTACTTATTTTTTTTTATTATCCTTTCACTCTGTAGTGAAAGACTAATCTCGTTTGACTTATTAAAAAAAAAAAATGCTAAGTAGAACAAAATAATTGTTGCATACTTGCATATTTTATTTTTAAAATAGATATAAATATTAACGATATTTATTTATATATTTATAATATTAAAAATTTATATATAAATTTTAAAAATATAAATATATATTATAATTATTTTTTACAAAGTTCTATATATACGATTATGATTACAGGTAAAAATAAATTAGGTTATATTATAATTTAGTAGATCTAAATCTAATTTTTGTTAAAAATATATGTCTTAAGTATAATTTATTTATCTGTCATGGACATATTTTAAATGTTTAGTTAAAATTACAACCATAAATATTTACTTTATAATAATTTAACATTAATAAAAACATAAAAATAAATATGTTAAATTTTATAAAAATCAAGTTTAATTTATTTATGATATAAACATGTTTTTAATATCTAATATAAAATTTTAGATGATAATTTATTTTAAAATATATTTTATAATAAAAATTCTGCATAAAAAATAAATCATAAATTTTTCAATATTTCCTATTTTAATTTTTTTAATCAATGTATACAATCTTTACTAATTTATTTTTTTAATCAACCTATACAATAAATAAAAAGTACAAAAGGTAACATGCATACTGCAATTTTTATTTTATCAAAATTTATTTTTTTAATATATTACATTATATATGTGAGCATCAATATATATATATATATATATATATATTATAATTAAACTTTTTTAATAAATTGATTCAATATCAATAAGTATTCTTTATCTTATACGAGAATTAATCTCCTTAAAAAATTTGATAAATATCAAATAAATGCTTTATACTCAAACTATTTGTATCACATTTTGACAATAAGACGAAACAATAAAGTAATTTCTCAGTTTTAACTTTTTGTTATTGCTTTAAGTTTTAAAATACTTGATTGTAACATAAATAAAGTGTAGACGAAACAATGAAGTGATTTCACGTCTTGAAGAGGTGTGTTCAAATAATACCTAGGTAATTACTTGAAGAAACAGGTCAAAAAACACCTAGGTTAAGTCAGAAGTGATTTATGAAAGAATACATATATTTTTGTAAAAGATAGTGAAACTTAATTAAAATTTGGACATAGTTTCAATAGTTGAGATGAATTAGTTTAAGAATATTGTGTGTTCTTTTCTCTTAATTTTTCGCTTGCACTTATAAGATTTTAAATATTATTTTATTATTTAAAAAAAGTGTTAAGTTTTTTATTAATATTATTCAATCTCCCTTTTAATATTTTTTTTTTCACGCATATTATCCTAAGCCTTCCCTCTTCAATAACAAGGAGAGTATTAAGATGAAAGTGTTTATGAGTGTCTCTAGCAGATTTTTTTAAACACATGCCTAGTAGCAAAAGTGTTAGGTGAACCAATATTAGAGTTGGAAAAATGTCAGAAACATATTCTTTTAAACACATTTTTTAATTGTATGTTATTTTATATTATTTATCATATTTATATTTATTTTCTGCTCTAAATATCTACTAGCATGTAAGTATATATGAATGATCTTTCTTTCTGTAAAAGTAATGACGTCTATTAATTTTAATAATGAAATTAAAAGGCTGGATTGGTATAACCTCCCGTGTTTGTTAGAAAGAAGAAATTGAACAGACGCCTTTGTTATAAGGCTTGGCCCATGCAATATGCATTGCTTCGGAGCAAAGAAACACGGAATCATGACTAAGTTTAACCTCTTTTTGGGTGCAATCACTAAGTTTAACTATTACTAGTTAAATTTATTTTGCAATATTGATAACGAATTAATGACTCAAAGATTCAAATCAACATTAAGATCCATCTTATGAGCACATGTGAAATGACAAGCTAACCAAGCTAATATATAAAATCATTTTCAATTAAAAATAAAATATTAAGAAAACTTTTTCCTTTGCCGTTTGCAGCCAAGTGGCACTAATGTAGGATGTGTACATTCATATGTGTTTCGTTAATGTCAAAGTCTATTATATCTTATATGCTGGAGGGGTCTGATCTACTACTATGTTTTTTATTTTTTAAAAATAAAAATAACTCTGGCACGGCAGATTTTATTTATTTATTTATAATGAAGATGATATTATTTTTCATAACTGTTTTATAAATCATAAATTTTTTATTTTTATTTTTTATAACTATCATTACTTATAATAACAATCTAATATGATATAATTTTTATTATTTATAAATAATTTATAAAGATACAAAGTATGTTTTATATGCTAATTATTAATAAAGAATTACTTTTAAAATATGTGTTAATTTTCATTAGAAAATTGTACGCATGGTTATAAATAAGTTTTATGTATAGAAATTTAATATTTTATAAATTATTAGAAAAGAATATATCGATGGGGTATGACATTTTTCATGTAATAGTATAGTATAAGCAAAGGTGACAATGACTATGACATTCACATGGGAAGAAGAGCATGTGCACGAGGCCTTCTGCCTCCCACATTGTCTTTCATAATTCATACATTTATAGTCACCCGTGCTTTATTCTAATAAAATTATTATAATAATATTAATAATAACAATAACAACAATATTTTTTATATAATAATTTTAATAATAATAATAATAAGAATATCAATAAAAAATTTAATAATAACAGTTAGAATAAAAAACACAAATAATTTTAATAATAATAACTTTTACAATAAAAATAAGTGCGGTCTAAAAATAATTTGTATCATGTATTAATTTGTATAAGTGCATATTTGATTATCAATAATGATTTTCATTTTTTCTGTTGTGTAAGTTAAAACTTAAAATCTCGTGCAAATTATTTCTATGACTAAAATTTAAAATATGACATTTTTAATTAAAAAGACTCTAAAAAAAACTTTAAAAAGACTTTTTAAAAAATTTGTTAAATAAAATAAGCTGCGGGTTCTTCATATTCTAACCAGAATTTAGTTAATATTTATTTGGTGATAATAGTTGGTGTGACTTTCTACTATCATTGTTGATTAATTTGTAATTACCTATACACATGCCAACTATATAGTGGTGCATGCACAACCACTTCGACCTCCGGCCACCATTGTTTTGGTAATCACAAGATTCATAAAATATAAATTATAGAAAGAAACTAAACTAAACTTACTATGTAGTCACAGTAATTGGTAATCGATCACTTTCTGTCCTTAATCCTATTTAGATACCCATTGACTTTGACTGTTGCATATATATTTATATATATATATATAT